TTTGTGCTGTTAGTTTACAGGTAATATTAAAATCATTGATTATTTATTGAGAATTAATTCCTAACGTAACAAAAACTCTGTAATTATTAAAGTATTGCAGACAATTACCTTCGATTCTGTTGTCTACGGAACAAGTCATTGGTAAAGAGAAACCGGCGTTACTCGGTTCCTTTAGACAATTGTTAATTGTAAAATGAAAGATGCATTGTCCTGTATAATTACAGACTTTATAAGACTTTACCAAGCTCTTCGATGATTGTGTTAACTGAAATGAATTTAGGTGTAAAACTCCCTTTCATTAAAAAATGTGGGCCTGAACTGATCGTTTTCTCTACACGTTACTCTGTAGTACCAAATAACAATAGATTTGAAAGTGTTAATCATTAACACAACATTGTTAATTTCCTAGAACTTCTGTGCCTGTGCTTTCATAACATTGTTTTCAACCACTATTCCATGAATATTAAAGAAATTGAGCCAACATATGTGTACATGGAATGACATTGGCTGTTATAAATAGCTTGCAGCGTCTCCAGTACGCAATTTTGATAGAAATCTTGTTATATTACAATCGAGATTGAAATAAAATATCCAGCAAGGAAACGAAACGAAATTGTTTCCAATGCAATGTTACAACCTTCATTCACAAACATTTACTCCGTAGCCTTGCTCGCTAGTTTAGTCTTTCACAACCAGCCAGACAACAATCATAATGACCATGGATATTGGATATTAAAATTTGTGAATAAGACTCAGACAGACAGAGACAAGTATTAGTGTTATTATGTGTTATTAATTCTATTATGATCTAGACAAGAAGATTACGTTAATGTAAAACAGTGATATAATTCTCAATGAAGAAATTTTTAACAAGATTAAATTAGTAAAAGAGTAACCATGGAATCATATTTTATAGGAAACTAATATTCAGTCTGAAACACGAAGTTTCTGGACAGATGAGAATATGCAATGTTGATAAGGATTTTCAGATATGGCCTCTCAACTTCCATGACAATTCAAGGACCCCCCTAATGAAATAAGGAACACCACATTTATGAATCACTTCACAGAAGACAATTTCAAGCGGTTTTGCAAAACACCAGCTGATAGACAGGATCCCTCTGAACCTAAGTTGTTATCCTTGAAAAACCCATGCCAAGTCGTGTAGACAATGACCAGCTGGTAGACAGGATCCTTGTGAATCCAAGTTGTTGTCCTTGAAAAACCCATGCCACGTGGACACGGACCAGCTGGTAGAAAGGATCCTCAAGAATGCATTTGTTGTCCTTATTGACATGGATCTTTCCCTATTCTATTTCGTCCATCCCAACAAATCAATAGATAAAATACCTCACACTTTCTCTACTCTATCTGAGGATTATAGATGGTTTAACAACAATGTTTCTGTAATATTACACTTTATAGCAAACATAATCCTGTCTCGGAAATACTGGCTTTTAATCGCCGTCATTTATTGAGTAAACTCAGCCATTCATAATGCCATATAATTTCAGGATTTATTGAAGATTTCTTCTAGTCTGTGATACTCTTTTTGAAGATATATCAGCTCGTACATCTCTTTTAGAGAGTTCACATAGTAAACCAGTCATTCATAATGCCATATAATTTCAGGATTTATTGAAGATCTCTTCCAGTCTATGATACTCTTGTTAGTTATATCAGTTTGCACTATGATCTCATTTTACAACACAACTAGGTTAGGTACTTCAACATCCTTTTAGAGAGTTCACATGGTAAAGCCAACCATTCATAATATCATGGGAATTATTGAAGATATCTTCCAATTCTTGTTGAAGATATATAAACTTGTACAACCCTTTTAGAGAGTTCACATAGTAAAACTAGCCATTCATAATATCAAAAAAAAAATTGGATTTATTGGAGCTTATTGTAATACATAAGTTAATAGTACTGACATCTCACTCTACTTAACATTGTTTTCTTCCTCAAGAGTCATAGAGAGTTCACATAGTAAACCAGTCATTCATAATTCCATATGATTACTGAGATTCTCGTCTAGTCTGTAGTCTACTCTAGGGGTATATATCAGCGTGTGAATGCCTTTTAGAGAGTTCACATAGTAAAACCCAGCCATTCAGAATATCATATGATTACTGGATTCATTGATGATGTCTGGTGATCTGAGATATTCTAGAAGATATATGCTTATATTATCCCCAATAGTAAGATAGCTACCTCAGAACCCATTCTTCAGATAATACAATAAACAGAGGTTCGTGTGCTACAGGCAGTGCACATTAAAGATCACTCGTCAGTTGGAAATCGAAAAAAGAGCAGGATAATGCCGCTGTCCTGGCAAATTTTCATTGCGCCGTGCATGGCATTGCTCGTCTTCATTAGCCCACATGGTGCAGAAAAGTAGGACGCAAAACTTCATTCATTTCATTTTCGGAATCTCTTTGATAGAAGTCATCAACATTTGGTAATATATCACAGCTATCAGCTATTTCCTTTCAGAGAGTCCACATACTAGAAGTTATGTTTTAATTAGAATAACAAAATAAGTGTACACAAATTTGATTAAATCAGAAATTATGTTCACCAATTTATGGGTATTAATAATATCATAAAGTCAATTTCAATTTATCCATTAAAATTATATGAGGGGGTTATTCTTGTTATAAAAAAATCATTTTGAAAATCTGTTCACCATTAGCCTCATTTCCAACTCTTCATTACAACTATGATATAAAATTTTCAAAATATTGCCTTTAAATTGGTACAAGGCCATTTTATGGTTTAGGTTTATTAACTTGGCATGACCTTAAGAGAGTTCACAAATAATGTTTGGTATATACCCAGTAGCATATTTAGGAGGAGGGCCATTAAGCCATGGCCTCCCTCACCCCCCTCGGGCCTGTGAAATGTCTTATTTTGAAGTGAAAATTAAACCCTCTGCTAAAAATTCATCTCAGACCATCTGAGATCTGTTAGCTTTTAGGGGTTGCCCCTTGGCCTCATCTCGGAGAGTCACCTCTCATTTCTCGCCCTCCTAGGGCAATTTCTAGATACACCCCTGTATATATTCGTCTCAAACAAAAACATTCTGAGCTTTCAAACTTGTGTAGAATCCATTTTGAATTTGACAGATGTATGAATTATGTATAAGAAATGTCTGAAAGTCTCTAACTATAAAGATACCTGTAATTTCATGGTCAGATTGTTATAGTTTGTGATAATAATACCGTGGGTTTTGTTTTGATATTGCCTTAACATAATTTCAATATGAAAAGCAGCACATTCGACCATTAGGTCTGATGTACCTCAATCAACAACAATAATAAAGATACCATTCTCTGGGTATTGTTGTAACATCATTTAAAGTATCTGAAAGCGGCACCTATAGCCATTATTTTTTATGTACCTTAATCAACAATAATAATAATGACAATGTCATTCTCAGGATATTGTTTTTCATGATTTTAAGCGTTTTCACAGTCTGAAACCAGCACCTTTGGCCATTACTTTTTATGTATCTTATTTTAAGAATAATAATAATGAGTATACCATTATCTAGATCTTGTTTGATTGTGTATTGACAAACCATCATGTTGGATTTTTAGTTTTGTTTTGTATTCAGATTGTTAAGAGTTGTGTTTTTAAACAGAATTTTATAATGTATTAAAGGGCTGAAAATGGCATCTTTGACCATTAGTTTTAATACTAGATAACCATCACCATATGGTTTGATTTTAATACAATTTCAAATCTTTACAAGGCCTGGAAATGGCATCTTTAATCATAAGTTTTGATGGTAGAAGTCTATCACTATGTATTGTTTGTTACCACACGATTTTAAATGATCAAGTCTTCATTAACAATTAGATTTGATGTATTATGATAATGCCGTATAATTAGTCACCCTTCATTAAAACTAAATGAATTAGAAGTATTGAGGCGTAGATATCAATTGTTATTGGTGTTCAGGTTGAGAACACAGAGTTAATACCTTTATCACAGCTTCATTAGGTCCACAGCTTATATCACTAATATCATCTTCATAGTGGTTAAGGTATTACAAACTTTGTCTTATACCTTGACTGCAATAGCAACTTGTATCACTGAATTCAGTGATTTGATTGAATTGTACGCCAGCGAATACAGCCAATCACTGCTCTGAACAGACTGTAAACATTAATGCTTTTTGTTTACAAAGTTTATATTGAGGACTCTGATTGGCTATATTAACTATTTCAGACTGTTAACCACCTGTCCTGATGAGGGTTGTATATCTGAAACACAAATTGGCAGCATGTTATGTCCATTGAATCAATATTTATGATTGTTTTTCTTTATAATTTCAGGTTGCGTACAGAATAAGAATTAAGAATTAGACACCAAGGATTAAGGATTTTGGATTAAGGATTTTGGATCAAGTATTAAGGATTCTGGATCAAGAACTGAGATTAGGGATCAAGAATTAAGGATTAAGAATTCTGGATAAAGGATTAAGTTTTTGGATTCATTAAATGGTGTCAGGATTTACTCTATTTTACCAAAGTTTCACGTCCCGAATATTTCAATAATTTTAGATATTATTATCAGTGCATCTGAACTTTATCGCTGATTATGAGCATTTGGACAAATTTAGTATTTTAACTTGGATTATTATAAAAAAGTTAAAAACCAAATTTAATGAACATTTTGTTAAATGAAGTGTTGATTTAAATGAAAGTTTGGATTTAACTTAATTTAAAAAGTTAAAAACATAAATTAAGAATTAGTGTTGATTTAAATGAAAAATTGGACAAATTGATGTTTGATGCACCACCAATCTTCAAGAGAACAAAACTTGCTAGATTAGATGGTTCTATAATCGGATGGCAAAAATGGCTAAACACTTCAACTATAGTTCTTTATTCAATACAGATTTAAGTTTTGTTGTGACAAAATCACCCCCACCCCCCAATATCTGCCATTTTGAAATGCCGATGGAACATTGGGAAAAGGAATTAAGTTTTTACTTGAACGGAGTTTTGACTACGTTTATCATAACTCTTGGCCTGATGGGAAATCTGTTTACAATAATAGTGCTAACAAGAAAGACGATGCATACATCAACAAACTTTTTTCTCACTGCCTTGGCAATTTGGGACTCCATTGTTCTAATCTCAACGTTTTTGCTAATCTCTTTGGGAGAACTCTCATCGACGTTTAAATCCTCTGTATTCCCGTATGTTGTGATTATAGTTTATCCAATCGCCTTAATCGCTCAAACCTCAACAATATGGCTGACTGTGTCTTTCACTGTCGAACGTTACATCGCTGTTTGTCACCCGCTAAAAGCTGCCAGTATGTGTACGATAGCACGAGCTCGGATGGTTATCGTAGGAATTTCAGCCATCAGTATCTTATATAACACGCCTCGCTGGTTTGAATATTTCATAAAGGATTACACGTATATACCGACTAACGAAACTTGTGTAATAGTCGATCAAACAGACTTCGGAAAGAGCCATCTTTATCACAAGATATACTTCGGTTGGTTGTACTTTCTAGTCATGTGTGTAATTCCTTTATTTTCATTGGCTGTTTTGAACATTTTACTGATCGTTGCCGTGAAACATTCACAGAAGCAGAGAATAAATATGAATGTTCGTCAATCCAGAGAAAATAACGTCACCATTATGTTGGTTTCCGTGGTAATAGTGTTTATGCTGTGTCAGGTTCCTGCTCTAATCTACAATATGGCGTACGCCATCAACATGGAAGCCACCAAACATATGTTCGGATGGAAGATCTTGTCGTCGATTCGTAACTTTCTAGTGACCTTCAACAGTGCAATTAATTTCATGCTTTATTGTGCCCTTGGACAAAAATTCCGTCGAACTTTTGTGCGTACCTTTTGCCCCTGTATGTCTTACCGCGAAAAAAATAACCTTCATTCTTTCACACATAATTATCAAATGGACACCATCAAAGCTAATGGTAAAGACTCAACAAAGTATATGAAAATGTTGTGTAAAAAAGGGCGGCACATCAATGAACTGACAGACGTGGATTCTGGCGTTGTCACGCACCTTACAGTTGTCTCAAGGTATTCTCCCCATAGTCATAATTCAGTTGATTCTGAGATTTCTCTCAATCACCCCGATAGTTCAGATCACCCCTACTCTCGATGTGAACGAACACAACTCTGCCGTGACAAAGCTTATGATTAATCTGACTGCCCTAATGCCTTCCCTCCCCCCTCTAAACTGATGTCTTAAAATCAAAAATTGCCAGAAGCTAGACTTGAAAAGAAGCTAGAAAAAAATGCCCTACTCTTGAACTAAGCAAATGCATTTCTCCCAAGACAAAGCTTATGAATAATCTTACTACCTTTATGCCTTCTTCACTAAACTGATTTCATGTAATCAAAAATTGTAAAAAAGCTAAATTGAAAGAAAATGCCTGAACACATCTCTGTCGTGACAAAACTTATATAATTTATATGATTAATCTTATTCAAGTATGCCCTCTTACTTAACTGATTTCTAAATATAAACAAAATGCAGAATTTAAAAGAAAATACCTGAATAATCTTTGATCATATAATGGAATGTCCATTTTGATTTTTCAACAATTTTATATCACTTTTCTTTATTTCTATTATAATTAATGAAAAATCTAAATCTCAAAGAATATGGCCTATATTAGGACTAAAGTCTTATTTTTGATTATCTTTTCTGATACGATTTCCTTTCATTTTGGTACCTTTTTTGAATCGCAGATTTCAAGATTACGCGTATTGCATGCAGGTAAATTTAAAAGAACAAGACAACAATCATTTTTCCCCAACATTTATCACAAAAAAAATATAGAGGTCCCTTATCTCAAATCAATCAAAATTTAATTAGTTTGTTGTCCTTGTAAATCGCTTTAACAATTAATTATTGCGTTTGATTTATTGCTTAAAGCTAATTTGGAAGAAAATCACAAATAATCTGATATTTTGATATCTTTAATGTCATTATAATGTCAGGAAACAGTATTTCTCAACTGTTAAATCACCATAGGACAAATAATTTTCGAAGTTTGCTAAATATTTCTGATTTATTTAAAAAAATTAAATCAGGACAAAAATTAATTGTTTTTTTAAATGAAATGCCATTATTCAGTAATTATTCAAATAGAAAAATCAAGATAATTTTTCTTTTTTTTTATTCCTATTAATATTTCAAATTATTTCCGATTACCGGTATTGCAAAAGGCTAAATTTTGTAGAAAAAGCAATCATATTATGAATGTTTCCTTACTGCTGTGAGTAACCTTTATCACCAAAAAAAAGGAAGGAAATTTTCTATCAGAAATGTTAAAATATATGAACAAACCACTCCTGTAAAACACATCATCATCTTTTCTGACCTATCCCTGATCTATACTGTCAATATTTTATACTAGTAAAGGGCATAACCAGGATAATTCTATATCTTATAAATGTCAGGGAGTCTTTAATAAGACACTATATTTATTTGGTATTTGGAATAGTCAACCCAGTATCATTTCAGAGAGTTCACATAGCTAATAATGCTTATTAAGTATTTAGGTTTGTTAACTCAGCATCCCTTTCAGAGAGTCCACATAGCTAATAATGTTTATTTGGTATTTTGGTTTGTCAACTGGACATCCCTTTCAGAGAGTTCACATAGCTAATAATGCTTATTTAGTATTTAAGTTTGCCCACTCGGTTTCTTTTTCAGAGAGTCCACATAGCCATATCAATAATACTTACATATAAGTATTTTTTTTTGTCAATTTGACATCCCTTTTAGGGTGTTTACATAGTTTTTGCTTTTGTTGGGGTTTGTCAATACAGAGAGTCCACATAGCTAATAATGTTTATGTGGTATATTACTGGAATTGAGAGAGATAAGAGATAAGCCTTGATACCCCTACTGTAAATAGTGTAAATATTAATTAATATATTTTCATCAATGAATCCACTCCTTGTAAATATGATCATAATTAAATTAATATTGTTATATACTATTGTTATATACTAAACGTCTTTTCTACATAAACACTTACTTTTATTGTGGAAGTTATACATCTTTAACAGCAGATTTTTAGAGAGTTCACATAGCTAATCATTCTTATTTAATATCTGGGTATAAGAACTCAGAGAGTCCACATAGCTAATATTGCCTATTAACCTTGCATGAGCCACATAAAAAAAGATGGCTATTCAATAGATGAGTTTATTAACTCCCATCCCTTTCAGAGAGTCCACATAGTTAATGATGATTAATTGATATTGGAGTTTACCAACTCAGAATCCCTGCAAGAGCTATATAACTAATGATGATTATTAGTATTTTAAGTTTACCAGCATCTTTTTCAAAGATTATTTTGGGTTTACAAAAGGCATCACCTTTCAGAGAGTCCACATGAAAAATGTTAATTTGTTAAAATAGGAAGATAGGGACTCTGACCACTGACCCATAATTCTCACCACTGTACCATTATAACTCTGACCTGTGAGCCATCAAAACTCTGACCACTGTACCATCATAACTCTGACCTGTGAGCCATCAAAACTAAACTCTGACTACTGAGCCATCAGAACTCTGACTACTGAGCCATCAGAACTCTGATCACTGAACCATCATAATTCTGATCACTGAGGCATCAGAACTCTGACTACTGAGCCATCAGGACTCTGACTTCTGAGCCATCAAAACTCTGAGCTCTGAACCAGCAGAACTTTGCCTAAGCCATTAAAACAATTTTATTTTCATTTCCATTTTATCCGAATAGTGGAAATTTATGGGATTGATTTTTTAATTCACAACTGACCTTTTCAATTTAAGAGATTTTCCTCCAAAAATAATTTCAGTCCATAAACTATATGAGGGGGTAAATTTATTAGAGGAAAATAATAAAAGTGAAGGAATAGATAAAGTAATGTTAGAGAACAGAAAGATGAAAGTCAATTGGGTGGAATCGAGATAAACTTTCAAATCATTTGGAGGTTTTGATAGGTTTTTTGATTACGCACTGAATTCATCATAGATCATCCAAGAACAGTGTTGGGTATTGTCACTCATACCATGATACGATACAAATCATGCCATGATACGATTCGCTATATGAGATAATATACAAAATAACTCTTTATCTTCAAAGTTTCAATGATAATTTCACGGCTGTATATTATTACATTAAGATATTGTCAATAAATTAACAAGACAATCTACTGCTGTCACGTTTAGGTTCTCAATGGAACTTCAACTTTTAAATCCTATACAGCTGCATAACGTTGAGTTATATATATATAAATAATCTCTTAGCGGCATTTAGGAGTAGACATCATATTTAATAATGAAACACAATTTTATGATATACAACTCCTTCAAAGTGAGAAGTAGTGTACCTTTAAAATTGTGTTCTGTTATTTAAAATATATACGTGTATGATGCTTAATTAATATATTGCTTTTCCTACTCAGTAGCCCCACAAGGAAATCTACATAGCTAATAATATTTATTTAAAATCTGGGAATCCATGTTTTCCTCTTATGCCTAGTATCATGATGTCTCCATACACAACAGCGAGATATGATACACATATCAGGATTTATACTTAATAAAAGAATTAATGTATATATAGTTTGCCCATCATTTCTAATCATTATATGCCGGAGGACGACGGGGGAAACACGTCGAAACGGTGCATAAAACTTTAACCAGTGATTGTTGTTCCATAAAGCTGTGTCCATATATCATATATATAATGTTGTACCAGAAAATCCTATACCTCAAATCAATTGAGTCACCACCATCCAAACTATGAAAAACAGCTTAAAAAAATTCAATTTCAAAGCAACTAAACTATGCTACATACAAGAAATTTTCTTGATTTTGACACAGGAAATTAGACAATGGAAATTACAGTGAGAGATTAGAGAATACAGAAAAGCGGGAGCTGTTACAAGCAGGCTCTAGAACCACTGGTTGTGGCATCAGAAATTGAAGAGTTTCAAACCTATACCACCAATTTAACCAGAAGATTTCTTTCCTCCCTACTGCAGTTGAGCGAGCAAGTGACTAACTCACTGAGCCATTAACGTGTAGATATGTTAAGACCGCCATTGGTAAAAGCTGCTTCACAGGGTACTTGTACATATAGCTAATGATTTTATAGCTTGTAGAGCAACTGCTTAATGTGGGAATTCAAAAGATAAAAATGAAATGAATGGAGTTTTACTTCCTACTTTTTGCATCATGTGGGCTAATGAAGACATGCAATGCAACACCATGCAGGGTGCAATGACAGAAATTTTGCCAGGACAGCGGCATTAGCCTGCTCTTTTTTCGATTTCCAACTGTCAAGGAGTCTCTAATGTGCACACGTGGCCTCGGTTTATTGTACCATCCAAGCGACTAGATGCTTTTTCCTTTTACCTGCATCACTGACAGGTGGAAACCGGGTTGATGGGAATTCAAACGAACAATTTAAAAAGAATTGAAACAAGCTGAAAGTTAAATTGACTTCACTTAACTCTTGTCTACCATTGAACTATTATATGGAAACTGTGTTAAAAGGAAAGGTTTATAAATTACAGAGTGATCTAAAGAGGATTATCAGAAATATAAAAGATAAATTGGACAAATTGAGTGGAAGAAAGGAAAGGAAATAAAGTAGAGAAATACAACCATCATGTTCTAGGCCACTAGGCCAGTGTTATTACCTTTATTCAGATGGCATTTTTGTAATTGCCTATAATTTACAAGATTGTCTTAAAGAATATTACACAACATTTTAGCTTTTTTGAAGGGTTTCGAATCTACCTAGCCTAACAAATGCAACATTCGTTCCTGTAATATCCTAAAGAATATTTTTCAATCTATTAGCTTTATTGAGAGGT